TTACATTTAAAACAATGCAAGCTGACGGACAAAAAAACTTTTTTTATTTTTGAAGATACTGTGTTGTGACAGTTCCATTGTTGCCGATGCACACATTTAAACATACTTGCACAAAGACATTGCTGGAACTATAAAGAGTGCCATACTGGCGCATATAAGTGGGTGCTTAACCCGAATTGAAAATAAAATGCTGTCTCCTTGATTTGGAAATCATGAACTTCGCACAATCGACTAAGACCTGTATAGGAGTGCAATAGGCTGATGGATTTGTTCTTTTTTTAATACTGAGTTTATGCTACGAATTGACATCTATTTCTGATACTAGAAAAGTAAAATACACAAAAAAGTTTAACCAAAAATAAAGATATCAACAGAACCGTTTTTTATAGCTTCTCAGCTCAACTGAACTCAGTTCTACAATGTCAATGATTTACATGTCAATGGTCTCATAAAGAAAATAAAAGTGACGGAAATATCTGCATTATATATAGACAAATCCATAATATTCATATAGATGATTTCTTCGATCCAAATAAGACACATATAGGCCTATTGGTTAAAAAGAAAAGGAGAAGGATACAATCGCGATGTTGGAGCTTTAGAGTTTATCATGTGTTCAATGTTAAGCTGGTTATGACCAAAACTGTACAGTTCTTGTTAGAAAACACTTCCATAAATATCATTTAAGTTTCAGAACTCATACCCATAATTAAATTACAAATTGATAAATATGGCATCATGGATATGTATTTACAACGGTATTAACAAAAGGCAACGTTATATTTAACGGTAACAATCGTAACCTAATACCACATTTCTCCACCTGAAAACGGACGTTGACAATAGATTCGACCCCATCAAACAAGGAAATACATTCACGAGTATAATATTTATTTAGGATTTTTTTTCTGTGTTCAAGTTCATGACAAAGACTTTGGCACGTTTCTTAAGACTGTCTGAAGTTCCAACAATCAATTGAAGAGGCGACAATAGCGCGTCACCGTCATATAAAACAGTGTGAAATATTCTTCCTTTTTATTCTTTTTTTTAAATAAAAATTTGAGAAAATACATAAAATGAAAAATAAAACATTTTTTCTGTAAACTAAAAGATAAAAAAACATTTATTTATACTGAGAAAGTATTGAGTTCTATTTATTCATGATTTTTGTTTGATTTCCTCAAAACTGCGCAATACAAGTCACATTTTGCGATCCTGAGAACGTACGTGGCCTGCTTGGTGCTGGCTTTTGCTCTCATGTCCTGTCGTCGTTGTTGTTGTTGATTCCCCAATCCCATTTGTGTGTGTCTGACAGCGTGTATGTGTGTGAGACTGTGTTTGTGTTTGTGTGTGCGCATGTGTGTGTGAAGAGAACAGGAATAGTTTTTCAGTTGTTTTTTTTATCCTCAACTCCGCGGTCCACATTGAGAGATGGTTTGCTCTTCCGACTTCAAACGTACCATTCATTAAAGTTGGGTGCCAGTCCTTCGCTGTGACCAGACGTGTTTTGCACCGCTAATGGCGGTGTTTTTGTCTGGTCTTCCGTGTTGGCCGAGACCAGCACTGGTGGTGTGGACGACTCGTATCCAGAGCTGGCTGCTGGAGACGATTCGGATGCTTGAGACTCATGTACCTGAAAAAAAATAAAAATAATTAAACACTAAGAATAACGTATACTATTATTATATGCCCCAGTCCTTGTGAAGTGGCTAGCAGGGTGTTGGATTTAAATGCGGATTAACTCTGGATGTTGTAGAGCTTCTATAACACACATACAACTTAAAACAGGCACGGTAACTTCTACACTGCAAAATATGTCCAAATCAATGCTCCATTAACGTGCATCGTAACACGTATTTTTCTTTTTAAACTAAAATATTTAAATGTCAAGAGAATACATTTAGACGCATGCATTGGTTTAAACCAGGCTTTTTTTTTTTAATTAATGCAAAATAGTTTCAAACCGTAAATCTAGAGTGGCAGGCATGGGCTAGGCTTTATTCACAGATAATTCACTGATATATTCAAATTGTTTAATTGTGATTTTAAGTTGGCCTATCCCTCTACTCTATAACATCTTAAATGTTTCTTTTTTTTGCACCGAAATAGTGCTGTAACAGCTTAAGAAATGCCTGAAGTTGTGATAGTTCCTGTCTGTTGCAGGGGGGTGGGGGGTGGAGAGTGTGTGTATATGTGTGTTAATGTGTTTAAGGAGTAATGAAGACGTTAATTACCTTCATGTGTTTCCTGAGAGAGCTGGGGTGTGTGTATGACTTGTCGCACACTTTGCAGATGTATGGCTTGTCTGATGTGTGCACATGCATGTGCTTTTTCCTGTCGCTGCTGTTGGCGAAGCGTCTGTCACAGCCATCAAATTCACACTTAAACGGCTTCTCACCTGCAGGATTAAACACACACCATGAGTTACCCCAATGGCCCGAACAAACAAACTCCCATTGTAACACATCATGTAAAGCCGCAGCCCGATGTAAATGGTCTGCAGCGTATTATATAACAAGAGTAACCTACATTTTCTGGGCGACATGGATACAGCTACACTACTACACTCTGCTCTGTCAGGCTTTATTTATTCAAGAGGCCTGCTCCTTCATACTACTACTGGCCTGCTCCTTGCGTCTGCTCGTATAGTAAACATTGAATCAACAGGGCATCTTCTGCACTATATGATAGCTGAACAAGGACAATAATTAGCTACAAACTGATTCCTTATCATTTTATATAAAGTTCAGAAGGCACAAGAGGTAGTCTATAGCTCTAAAGAGCACTTTAACGTGAATACATGCGTAAAGTATCTTTATATATCTCATCCAACTTCCTAGCAGAAAACTACAGGGATTAAGGGTTAACATAAAGAGTTGGATAACAATAACACATTTTTCTTGAATTATCATGCTAATAATAATGTATCGCTTTGTTTATTATGAACTGCACTACAACTATTTGAAAACTGGTCAGCTGGATACATGTGGGCCCAACTTCTCAGATGGTTATGTAAACAACAAAATATGCACACATTTGTTAGCACTCTAAAACAGGCAGGATTCAGCATTTCTAAACATACAAGCCTCACTTTAAAACAGTGTTATTTTACGCATGCTTTTGCCGGTGCCTACCTGTATGTGTTCTTTTGTGGATTTTCAAATTTTCCGATCTGGCGAATATTTTCCCACATCCGGGGAATGGGCATGGGAATGGTTTTTCTCCCGTGTGCACACGGATGTGGTTGACGAGTTTGTACTTGGCCTTAAAAGATTTCCCTTCTCTCGGGCAGTCCTCCCAAAAGCAGATGTGGTTGCTCTGCTCCGGGCCGCCAACATGCTCCATGGACACATGAGTGACCATCTCGTGCATTGTGCTGAACGTCCTCTCGCAAGTCTTTTTGGGTCTGTTCATCTGGTTCTCGTCAATCCATTTGCAGGATAATTCTTGTTTAATTGGTTGTCTCATGTATCTAAAGAAGGCCCCGGGACCGTGGTGTGTCGGCACATTCATCCCCATGTTCATGTTGATGGGATGGCTGTAGTTGTGGAGCTGAGCCCCGTAGTGGTCCGTCCGAGGGCTCGCAACCGGACGGTACGGATCAGGTCGTCCGAAAATGTCCCCACGTAAGCCAAGATGCATTTGGCTGTTAACAACATGTCCACTCGGTGAAGTGTGGCTAACCCCCTGGTCGTGAAGTCCTGGAAACAACAGATGTCCGGGGTTATCGCTCATCCCGGGCGGACCGTGGAGGCTACCCGCCGAAGCTGCAAAGAGCCCATGCTGTGCGCTCGGCCCCGTGGACTCTCCAACACCCCGGTTCCGGAAGAGAAAGTCCCGTGTTGAATTGAAAGCTCCCCCACCGTACGAGCCCACCTGCCCGCCGTGAGTGTGTCCCAGGGCAGCTGCATATCCAGTGGCTTGCGGGGTGAAAGCTGATGTCTGGCTGGAGGCGATATCGTGTGCCACGCCGGGGCTGATTTTGAAAGCTGCGGAGTGGGGGGGATCGGCGAAGGGATTCAACCCCAGACCCGGGTCTCTGTTCCCGAGGTCGTGGTGCCGTGGTGTACCGAAACCCCCGACTCCTAACGATGCAAACTGCGGACCGCTATCAAGAAGCATAGTCATGAGCTTGAAGCAAATTTAGGAGAGGGGAAGAAAACAAAATTAAAATCCAGTGCAGCGGAGCACGCAAGCTGCAGACACCGCGCAGAGATTTACCACGTTTTACGAAAATCCTAAAATAAAAAACAACGGGGCAAAAACGGTGAAAAATCCTATGCGTAAAGAGTTGGGAGAAAAAAAACTCCCGTTGACTGCGATCCGTGAGAAAGAGGATCAAACTTCCCCCCCTTTCCAGCCGGATGATGTCCTTGGACTGATAAAGTCAATCACTCACTCCCCGAACATAAATGAACTCAGGAGGCAGTGCTACGACAGCCAATGAGCGCTCAGCTACCCCTCTGACACGTGACTGCGAAGGAGGGTGTTAATTGGCTAGATTTCTGGTGATTGGCACAGTTTGGTATTGAAGATGGCAGGTCGTCTCAATTGGTTTCATTTGATTGGCTCTTACAGGCATTATTTTGCAGGTAAAGCGGAGCACTAGCTCAGATCCTACATGTGTTATGTACAGAGCATGTCTCATGCAGCCTTGCATGGTTTTATATTCCTCAGAAACTACCAGGCAGTTTTATAAATAAATATACAAATAATTGGATCAGTTATTATGCCACCCAGCAACAACTATATTTCTAGAGTGGCCCACTCTATTATTTCACAGTATACAGCAACGAACTAACACTGCATAAAAAAACGTTTTTGGTTAAGCCTTTTGAGTTTTTTCAAACATATTTAAAACTTTATAATACATGTTGAAATGCCTGCTATTTAACATCTCTCTCTATCTATCTATCTATCTATCTATCTATCTATCTATCTATCTATCTATCTATCTATCTATCTATCTATCTATCTATCTATCTATCTATCTCTATCTATTTATCTAATGTAGTTTATATATCATTGACTCATCTGTTATTCTTCTCTTTCATGTGACCAGTTTAGCTCTTATTAACTGAAAACTTGAATGTACTTGGCACAGTTCCAAACTGTGGCTTTCTTGAAGCCGCTTGAAAGGGGAGGGGGGTATTTTTTTTTTGCAAAAGCTCTATAGGGTGTAAGACGGTGGAATAAAAGGCAGAAAGAAAGATGGCAGTAATTGTAATATCCTGAGATTTTTTAGCTCAGCCAAAAATTCCTGCCATTGAGCAAGTTTCACAGGGCTGCCACTGACTCGCTGCAGGACACATAAAATCTGATCAAGTTCAGAGACGCGCTGAGTGCTTCAAGCGGCGCTTTTTAACTCCAAGCCATTCACATCCTTTCCCCCTCAATCTGTCCCAGGAAGGAGCTCACATTCTTTATTTTAAGGGATCTGGACCAAAAAAAATCTTCAAATCATTCCTTCATTCTACCTTCGCCCTCACCCTACCACATTCACCCCAGAACATTTCCTCGAGAAAGAGTTATAGATTGAAAAGGTGAGTTTTCTTACTTCTCCGTCGTCCGTCTGTTAGTACCAGGGGCCATGAGGCAGGCCTGTGTGGACTGCACGGTGGCGAAGTGCAAACATGTAGCCTACAGTGTATTATATTTAGCCGGTGGAGGTTTCATGGGATTTAGTTTTCTTGAAGTGAACATAGCCTGCTCGTTGTTTAGGCCTGTTACTCGTATGTTAATTTAAATGTTGCAAGGACCTGCATACCTCTGTTTTTTTTATGGAAGTCGCGCACATTAGTAGCCTACAACACTTGCGCTTTTTGTACATAACCTCGACAATTTGTCTTGAAGCAAAACGACGAATGAGACTCACTTCATCTCTTTTTCCTCCGTAAGCTGCTCTCTCCCTCTATCTCCCATTTTCTCCCTCTCCCTCTGTTTGCCTGCCTCTTTCTCTCTCTCTTTTCTCCCTCTCTCCTCTCTCTCACCACGAATACATAGCCTCTCACAGTTTACTCCTCCCTTCACTCTCACACACACACGTCGTCTCACGGCACACCATGCGCATGCACGAAAACACACTCAGTAAACTATTAGCACACACACACCAACACGTAGCCTACAAAGAGAGAGAGACACACACACACACACACACACACACACACACACACACACACACACACACAGTTAACATAGTTTGCCTTTGCAGTTTTGCAGTATGAGATTTATGGCGACCTTTGTGATCTTTCACAAGTGACAAGCAGCCTGTTAAGTTTTCCTCTATTCCCTCCGTATTTTATTGGCTTGTTGAAACGTGTAGGCCCCATACGCCACTTAGGGTCATGTGCCGTGTATTTGCAGCCACATTATCACTATGGAATAATAACGTAACATGGTTTAGATGAGTCACAAATGTTTGTGAGCGACAGCAGCAGCGTCGGCAATGCTGAGAAAAAGAGAAGCTGTCATCAAATAGACCTAAGAGCAACTGTTGCCTGTCTAAAAATCTAAAACTAAAATTACTGCAGATCTCTTCAGTTGTTCTGGTATTTATTAAAACGGTATTTATTATGTAATTAATTCTACAATTGTGGATTGTCAAGATTTGAACTTAAAACATCGATGTTCTAATTGTTTTGTCAACCCCGAATACGAGGTTGCACGAATAGGTCATATATATATATATTTTTTTTGGTAAAAAATAACAACCCAAAGAATCAGACTGCTTTGCTGCATAAATACTTTTTTTGGTGAACAATAGAAAATTGAGAAACTTAAAAACAGGGGAAAGTGCTTCACAGGCCTTTTTATAGTGCTGCACTTTTGGTAGGCATTTGTCTCACTCACACCAGCCATTTTCCCCCCAGAATATTTCCCCTGCTCCTCGGGCATGCCGCCCTTCACATTTTCACCTCTTTTTTGACATGTCTATTACCCTTAATTCTTTTACATTTTACACCGTTATATTTTCTAGTTTTGCAACCACTGACATTATTGTTCAAACCGTTAGAGATGTGAGTTTCAATTTCGCAAAACGATTAATTGAATATGCTTAGTGGTTTAGGTGTTTTCTTTGATTGCAATGTTGGACACAGTCTAACATATTTAATGATCATTTGCACGTGGGTGTAATGCAACGTGCTAAATTATCACGTTATTCTGCAGCACTATTTAGACTATAAATTGATGATTTAGTTATCTCTGCTGGGATTACCTCATAGGGCGTTTGGATAGCCCATTGGTTATAACATAAGCTTCTTCAAACTGAGCATGCGCGTTACCTTAAAATATCCCCATATTGTACTGTGCATACCTCTTTGACAGTAGGCTATGCCCATGCTGTTGGAAAAGAGCAGAACATAACCATCAGCCTAAATGGTAAACAACTCACATTTATACATTTATTCTAACTAGATGTGTTGAGTCAGCAGTGTGAAAGTGTTTTAAATGCATAATTTGAAAAATGACTTGACTTGGATGCATGATCATGTTCTTATATAAAAGAAATGTGCCTATGGCAGCCCAAACGTCTGGATAATTTTCTTATAGCAATGTTAAGTAGTTATTTTTTTAGTCCATGTTGTCTGGCCTGAAGCCCATGGCTGGCTCAGGCCGCTTGTGCTATAGAGATTGTGGACTTAAAGTTAACTCAATAGTGACCAGACAAAAGGGAAATCTTCATCAGTCGCAAAAGCATAGCCCGAAAGTACTTCCATGTATTCAATACCACTGAATATGAATACGTTTTCTGTATATACATGAAAGAAATTGCAATGTATCCCGGGACAGTTAAATGAATATCACTATTTTTGTTTAAATGAGCATTGGGCTGAATGATTGTGCAGGTTTTGCTGTGGTTTAATTTGGCATCTCTTATAGGTTATGGGTTGATACAATACTGCAATGCATGGTTGTGTTCGGTGTGCTGCATTAGGTGCATTCTCCATGATACTTTTTCCCAGTTCTATAATATTCTGCAGAGCCCTTAGACTCATGCTCTGGTGTGCCCTCATACAATCGAGTAAATATCATACATTCAAAGATTTAAATACATTTAGATTCACATTTGTTTCGGCAAAATTACATTTTTATGCATGCACTTGTTTCGGAAATCCTTAACCGTTCACAAAACTAAAATGTACTTTATACATTGTATTGTATTTTAAAACACACTCCTATAATCAAATGTTATTTTGAATATCCGTGCAAGTGTAGCGGGTGATAATTACATGGAATTTGCAGCCTTAGATACTGAAGTTTTACATGACGAAAGGCAATTTACTGTCTTGTCATTTGGAATTTCACAATGTGATGCTTGACTTTATTGCATTGTTATCGGACACATTTTGTTGCTGTGTATTTGTTGGTTCGTCATAGGAGAAACATACATGTTTCGGGGGTTCATATTGCCCTATGAGGGTTTATACTTGCATACAGTACAATAACTCCACAGATCGGTGTTTATTTATCATATATTATCTGGTCAGTTGGGTTTGAGTGACTGCGACAGTACTGCAGTAGGTGTTCACCTTCCTATTGCTGATGGAGAAGGCTAATTGACTTCTTGCTGTGATTTACTGGAGCATCGGTCTGCAAATGGACTCGTCCCAAACCTGTTAATTCATCTACATTTCATAAAGTCATGGAAAGACTGCACACTGCCATTCTTTATCAATTGTAGTATCTCAGCACCACTCACTGCTCCACACAAATATATGCAGTTGTTTAAATGGTACACACACATGCAAAACACACACATATACAGGCATTAGTTGTACCACATATATGAACATTGTAACTCTGTGTCAACACACACACACACACACACACACACACACACACACACACACACACACACACACACACACACACACACACACACACACACACACACACATTTGGAATATTTGATATGATAATTTGATCTTCCTCATCCTTTTCTTTTTTTGAATTTTTAGTTAAACATTGACAATACACACTATGCAAACACCTGGTGATTTATAAACTGACTGTGAGTAGTTTATTATGAATAAACATGCATATTGACATGTATATTTATATTAAGCTAGTATATGTTTATCGCCTTTGTTCAAAGACTTTACCCAAAAAAGGAAATCATGTTTCTTTCAAACAATTCTTCGCAACACAATCCCGGGTAAAGAAATGCAACTCGCTGAATTTTCAGTCCAGTCTTCTACACAGTGGTATACTGTAACTCTTGTCTTCTGGCAGTTGGTTTCTTCTTCTATTACATCTCTTAATATTGCCCTTTGTCATTCATTTGGTCCATTTTCAGTGTACTGGAAGTGACTGGGATCTTATGTAAAGAGTATTGCCTGACATGAGTGTTTTGATAGTTGGGAGTGATATTTTGTGTGCAACAGTCACTAAGATTGTGTCTGGCCTGTCAAGCAACCAACATAAGTGACCACACTCATAAAGCTGGAGGGTTGGAAGGGATTGCAGATGTCAAAATGCTAGAATTTGTAACAATGTACATATTGAAACTAGAGTTTATGTGTAGTTTCCAAATATATAGGATACAGATTTGGTTTCATGTATTAAATATAACAAATAAAACCGGAAACATTCCTTAGTAAGATAACAAATCCTACAAGCAATAGTTAATTGCGGTTTATATGTGTATGTCTTGGCCATTACTATAAGTGCATTGTTTATCCATGTGAAGAAACATTTCTACTCCAACATTTATTTTTACGAAATTGAAATGTTGATGAAAGAATTTGCAATTTTACAAATTACATAATTATTTTGTTTGACTACATTTTCATACTTTATTCCAGTAAAATTCATAAAATGATCATTTATAGAAAACTCCTCATGAGGCTAATGTATAATTGTATGTTGAAATATGGATGCTATGAGCATTTACATTTAAATAATCTTCGGCCTTTTGACTAAATATTACAGTTCAAGCTTCAGTTATGAAATAGGTAAATAGTAAACAAATCCCTGTGAGTTTATTAGTGTGAAGGTGAGCCAAAACAGCTTTACAGAATGGATGTATTAAATAATAAAAGAGAGTCCTTTTTCGTGTTTTCCTCATTGATGCAAATAAGGACCTGGAGTGATTTGGGGTGCAGGTCTGTCAGACCTTTCCGCTTCTGAATGACAGATTGGAAACTTTCAGTCTATTGGCCTTCAACCCTCCATAATTTTCGGAAATGCATCGGGTTAAAGGTTGACAAACATGAGCGTCCATTACAATCATGACAGAATTAGGCCAGTTCTGGGCATGTCTACTATTTTGCGGCACTTAATGTCAAGTGGGCCCCTTGCTTTGTCTCTGCCTAGGATCCACTGCAGGTGGCGTCAGCATTACAATGAGGAAACGGATTTTTTCCAAATATTTTATCTTAAGAAAATATTGAAAATTGCAGTAAGTCTTTAGAATTAGGTTTCTTCCACCTCGAGCTGCACTCCGAAGCCAACACCACTTCGTTAAGATTTATATTAAAGAAACAGATAACAAATGTGGCTAAACTGGTCTATGGGAGAAAGTTCGCTGATCAGATCGGAG